CGGTAGAACATGATATTTATCAGTATAATCTCGTGTATCTGTCGGTAGAACATGATATTTATCAGTATAATCTCGTGTATCTGTCGGTAGAACATGATACTTATCAGTGTAATCTCGTGTATCTGTCGGTAGAACATGATATTTATCAGTATAATCTCGTGTATCTGTCGGTAGAACATGATATTTATCAGTACATATCGTGTATCTGTCGGTAGAACATGATATTTATCAGTATAATCTCGTGTATCTGTCGGTAGAACATGATATTTATCAGTATAATCTCGTGTATCTGTCGGTAGAACATGATATTTATCAGTATAATCTAGTGTATCTGTCGGTAGAACATGATATTTATAGGTATAATCTCGTGTATCTGTCGGTAGAACATGATATTTATCAGTATAATCTCGTGTATCTGTCGGTAGAACATGATATTTATCAGTATAATCTAGTGTATCTGTCGGTAGAACATGATATTTATAGGTATAATCTCGTGTATCTGTCGGTAGAACATGATATTTATCAGTATAATCTCGTGTATCTGTCGGTAGAACATGATATTTATAGGTATAATCTCGTGTATCTGTCGGTAGAACATGATATTTATCAGTATAATCTCGTGTATCTGTCGGTAGAACATGATATTTATCAGTATAATCTCGTGTATCTGTCGGTAGAACATGATATTTATCAGTATAATCTCGTGTATCTGTCGGTAGAACATGATATTTATCAGTATAATCTAGTGTATCTGTCGGTAGAACATGATATTTATAGGTATAATCTCGTGTATCTGTCGGTAGAACATGATATTTATCAGTATAATCTCGTGTATCTGTCGGTAGAACATGATATTTATCAGTATAATCTCGTGTATCTGTCGGTAGAACATGATATTTATCAGTATAATCTCGTGTATCTGTCGGTAGAACATGATATTTATCAGTATAATCTAGTGTATCTGTCGGTAGAACATGATATTTATAGGTATAATCTCGTGTATCTGTCGGTAGAACATGATATTTATCAGTATAATCTCGTGTATCTGTCGGTAGAACATGATATTTATCAGTATAATCTCGTGTATCTGTCGGTAGAACATGATATTTATCAGTATAATCTCGTGTATCTGTCGGTAGAACATGATATTTATCAGTATAATCTAGTGTATCTGTCGGTAGAACATGATATTTATAGGTATAATCTCGTGTATCTGTCGGTAGAACATGATATTTATCAGTATAATCTCGTGTATCTGTCGGTAGAACATGATATTTATCAGTATAATCTCGTGTATCTGTCGGTAGAACATGATATTTATCAGTATAATCTCGTGTATCTGTCGGTAGAACATGATATTTATCAGTAAATCTCGTGTATCTGTCGGTAGAACATGATATTTATCAGTATAATCTCGTGTATCTGTCGGTAGAACATGATATTTATCAGTATAATCTCGTGTATCTGTCGGTAGAACATGATACTTATCAGTATAATCTCGTGTATCTGTCGGTAGAACATGATATTTATAGGTATAATCTCGTATAGATACGAAAATAGATGGATTTTGTATTCATTATAGAAATAGAGTAAGTCTGTTAACTGCATTTAGGAAACATTGAAAACAGACAAATTGAAATTTGAGATATATATTTACTGAATGATTTCGTCATGACATCTGTCTAACAGTACAGAAAAATTCACGAAAGTGAGCATTTTGTTATAAATAATGGGAGTTTAATAAAGGAAAACAAAACATAAGAACACAAATAAGGGAACTGGTTGATTATTAATCAGAAACACAGGGGATGAATGAAACGCAAAGCAAATATTTTACCGAATCTGTGCGATTTAAGAGCAAAACATCAATTAACTGAATGTGACAGAAAAAGATAAAGAAGCGATCTTATCTCATTCCTTTAATAGACATTATAAAAATGATACCAGCAGGGGTATAACAAAAGACTGACTAGACATGCTGCATATTTATCTCCCAGTGGAATACCAATAGGATCTTTATATAAATAAGCTTTCACAGAATTCAGCGGAAAACGGGGTTGATTATACAGACAATAGTTTTCCTGTTTTGTTTTCTATTTCTTTTTTTTTTCATTTTTTTTTTGTCCAGCATGTAACATGAACTAATATGGTTGTATCGAAGAGCAAAATATACTAGAATGATATGTATATGCCACTTAAATGAGTTGTAGTGTTAAGTGTGAGGAGACACAATATAAAGCGGGGAGAATTGGTCGGACGAAGGTTGTCATTGTCACGATTGAAACAGTTTTAGTCCATTTTAAATGGGTCTGGTTTGATGGCTTTGGGTTTGAAAACAAATATTTATTCGAGGGTTTCCATTTAAATCTTTCACTTGTTCGTATTTTGGCCTGTTTTGGTCGTCATTGACTTTTTCTTGTGTTTTGCAGGCCATTGACTATGTTGTTGATGCCATAAATAATTGTGTTTACCAACACGACATGATTCAGTGATCAATGATTCGGTATAGAGACTTACACTTAGCGTAAGATTATCTCTACAGACTAGCTCATTTTTCCATACACAGTCATACAAAATATAACTGTTACTTTACTGTTGCTTTAAAAACTAACGAAAAACTTCATGACCGTAACTGTAAACAGGTTTCCACAGCAATCAAACTTGTTTGTGAAAACATCGCAGTTAATTTCTATATGCCTTTTCAAAACGTCATGCACTTTTGTTTCGAATGAAATATTATGATCAGCTATAATAAAAATGGGACTTGGAAACTCCGATGATGGCAGCAGTCACAGAGTAAGTGATAATTATAAACTTTAGGATACTTTGGTAAGTTTTACGGTCGCCATAGTGATCTCATTGAGAAATATGCTATTTCTTTGTGTGATATGAAGCTGAACGTGTTTTATGCTCATCAGTTTCCCCGTTGGTTTCGGTGTTGTATACCTTGTCCTCATTTGAGAACATGACATTACTGACTTGGATTGACCAAGATTTACATGGCTGGTGTCGTCTATGAAGCAGAAGACGGTTACTCTTCCGTAACATCTGGTCTTATTCTCCTTGTACTTTTTTTCAGGAGTATCCGGGTAGATCTTTCTTTTGTTCATATTTTCCCCTGGTTTTATTGATTTGATGTTGGATTATGATTATGTTGACACGTTGGTATTTTTTTTATCAAAGGGATAGATAAAAGGCAAGATGCCTATAGCTGTATTTAGTATCGGAATTTACATAAAGCAAGTCGATGTTCCGGTTCGATATGCAATCACTATCGTCTGCATTAATCGGACTATAAAAGTTTCGGCTGTCGTATCAAGCTTATTATCACATGGAGATCATGTGGTTTTACACCACACAAACAGAATATTTAAGTACTTTTATAAAAGACATACGATTGGTGACAACAAAGACTAACAAAATAACATTAGGGTATAGTAAAAACACAAAAGCATTACATTATAATCTCAAGAGAGAAAAAACTATAACAAGATGAAAATTTACTTATGAATATTACATACCAACCCTTAAGAGTGCATACTATCAACGCTAAAATCGAAACTTAAACAAAATATCGAATACACAAACAGATGTTCTGAAACAGCTCTTCATGCAGTGCTTTTGGCATCGTAAGTATGAAGCCGACTATCCAACATCAAACGACAAAATGTAAAAGAGCATTGAAGTATAGCGGCAACATTGGCTATGCCACTACTGACATATTTCATGTAGACTCGAGAAATCATCCACAGACTAAATCATTCTAGCGAACCTCTGACTAGAAAAAGAGACTCATTTTTGACGAATTTCAAAAATCATGGAATATAAGGAAATTTATTACATGGGTACTAATTGTTTACATAGGCTTTCCATAAATCATTATTTTTCCTGTCATTATTAAAATTATCCAGACTCGATGTCTATGGTCTCAGTGAATGCGGTGTCATTTCATGATCTCCAGGCGTCACAATATGCCATTCTCAGAATAAATGGCAATTACAGGATGGGCATTCCAGTATATATTTAATCTACTAAGATAACAATGCAATTTTTTCATAAATTTCTCCCATGACTTGTCAACGTTAAAATAAATTCTCGGAAATGACGGCCTTGTCTAATTCGTGCAGGTCGTTATCTTAAAAACATAAGTGAAAAATAGATAATGTAGAAAGGATGTAATGTACGGGGAAAAGTGGAAGTAGGTTTTCACATTATTGAATGGAAGACTTCCCCATGTGTGGGAGACGTTACGGCAGACTGGCGGAGAGAAGGTACGCTGTTGTCTCCACTAACGTTAGAGACCGTTTGACATTGAACGTGTTATGACAATAGCAAGGAGATGTGGGAGGTGAGGAGAAAAATCCATACGGATATTAAGATATGACAGTTGATCTGTCGTTATCAGCTTTACGGCAACAGTCATCAAGAGGTGGCCTGAATCCATCTTCAATTATCGGACCCACTTATCGACGATATACTTACATTAATATTCAAAAACAAAACATGATGAAGCAGGTTAAGCTTGTTGTTTAATCGTGTGTAGGATCTCAGCATATCGACCGGAGTACTGGAGAGCGCACTGGCCGTGGTCGGGGCTCGATCAATACACTTCCTACACTGCGCATGGCCTCACGTACAACCAAGAAAATCTACTACTATCACAACTACTAATTTATAAATGTGGAATTAGGCTCTTAAGGAACGTTTGACAGTTGAAGCACGTGACAAACATGCCCAGATCTCCCGCCCTCCCGTACAACGTGAAGGGGAGTCAAGGAGAGGCGTGACCAACCCGCCGATCATAGAACCGCCTCGCGCTCACCATTCAACTGTTTTCTTTTCTTTAAATCGTTTATCGATTGGCGATGTCATTTGTCGGAAGTTGTAGGAACACATAACAAAGTAGCGGGGAAGATCGCGACGAGAGCGGATCGTGAAAGCTGGTTGGTTCTGTCCTTACGATTGATCGCACCATACGGCAAAACAACCAAAACTACAACATGCCCGTACTTTGGAAAAGCCGCGACCGGGAGAAAATGCCTGCCCCCCGGAGCCCGTCCCCAGTGCTGAAGCCCCTATCGGCCCTGGCTGTTCCGGGGATGTTCCTCTTCTATAAATACAACGAGATAAAACGCCAATCAAGCCATCCTACTGTCCCTAAGCGGACAACTGTGACAGAGAGGGAGTTGGACCACCTCAACCATAAAATTGTAAGTACACGTTTTACCTTTAAAAACCTGTATTATCAATTAACATTATCGTCATTATAACATTGCCCCAAAAGATAAAACCTTCAACTTCCGGATACTTTACCAAATATTGAACTGTCAGTTTTGTGGTACCAAGAGATAAGCCTCAGCATTACTATCAGACAGAGAGAGACCTTCCACCTTTATTTTTCTATCAAAGTTTTGATTGAGGAACTTACTTATACAATATAAGCATCTTACTGTCAGCTCGGCGGCAAGCTATTTACAAAGTACAGTTTGTACTGTCAGCTTTACATACTTTGCTTAAGCTACTTCCGCTTTCTTATAAGTGTGACGTTCAGTTGATTTCTGCATTCTTACCCAGCAGTTGATACCATTAGTTTATGTTGATGCAGTTTTGTTGAAATATCAAAGTTGATACCTTTAGTTTTAAATATATACATAGGTTAAACAGACACTTCAGAATTCTTTATAAAGAATGTCATTGTCACTTTTTATATGTAGGCAGTTTTTCTTCCCTCGCTTGCTCGTTCTACACATATAACTTCATGGTATCATAATTTCGTTTGCATACCAGGTATATATGTTTACTAAACTGTCCAATAACTCCTATATTACAATTCTCGTTACTTAATCGTCAGCTATATAGTTCCGATCAACAAAATAATCGTACAACATCCACATAATTGTTCTTCCAGCCCTTTCATTTTAATATAGGATTTGTTTATGTTTAACAAAAAAGTGTTTTTCAAGCACTATACTTAAAATTTATTTGTAAGTTAGAAAATTGCTAGATTTATGAAGAGGTATCATACGAAAAAGAAGAAAGAAAGAAAATCACACATTCGGATATGTTATGACTAATGTTCTGTCAATTTTTAATATTGTTCTTTGCTATAAATGCAAGTTAAAAAGGCAAACTTTCCTTGTAAAATATTAAATATTCCCCTACGTGACAAAGAATTGTACTATCAACCGTAAAACTTGATTAAACAACAGTATCTCTTTCTTTACAAGTAATTAAACTGTAATTAGGCATATAGTTTTAATAGCCAAACTTCCGCATACTTTACAGTGAATTGCTTAAATTTCAACTTATATTACAAATAACGGGACTGACTAGCTCTGTTTTATTGCAGAAATTGTCGAATGCTCCATAACATTGTACCACAAGGCCTTTTGTTTCCTTGGGTCAAATTCGGCATTATGTATATAGTGTTGTACCCCAGGACTTCGAAGTTTAATAGTGGTCAGTTCTAATGGTCGACTTTAATCCTTGAGATTTGTCGTAGCTCTAAATGTCAGGTTAATTTTTAAAATTTACGAATGCTGTTAAATTTCAGAGTAAAACACCTTCTGATCTATGTTTCATATTGTTTTACATTTGTTCTTATGTCACTAAATTTAACTCAGATATAAAATGATCTGTTTTTCGTACAATATCTTACATTACTGTATACCTAACTTCTGAACACTTAATAAATTAACGTAACTCGTCCTAAACAACATGTCATACTTAACCGTCGAATCCTGACCACGCTGTAAGCACATCAAGTAACCAGTGTAACGTTACAACATACATGTGTGTACTACATACCTGAATCCACATACTACATGTGTGTACTACATACCTGAATCCACATACAAAATGTGTGTACTACATACCTGAATCCACATACAAAATGTGTGCACTACATACCTGAATCCATATACAAAATGTGTGTACTACATACCTGAATCCATATACTACACGTGTATACTACATACCTGAATCCACATACTACATGTGTATACTACATACCTGAATCCACGTACTACATGTGTGTACTACATACCTGAATCCACATTTTAAAAATTATGTTGATGATGAACGAGGAATCTGAAATCACTAAGATCATTTAAGATAAATATAACCTTATTTATAGTAGATAAAATATTTGATTTACGAAAAACCTGTATATCTTTATTACATAATTGAGTTGTTAAGAAATATTTCTAGATATAACATATATATATTATACAAATACCCTTTTATTTACACTTAGCGGGGACTTTACAGGAGTAGCGAATAGGTTTTTCTTGAATGCAAACTAGTTCATTCTAACGTTTACATGTTGTAATATGTTACCGTTGTTTATTGTTACTTTCAAACATTAAGTAATAATTAATAAGTTATAACCATACAGAATATCATTCCTGTTATAACACAACAAAAACTTTCGGGATATTGACATCTACATATCTATATATATAACAGATATGAAATATATCATCTTCTAAATTTTCTTTATGTATATAATGTAATTCAGGATGTATAAATAATAAATTACCAATTATCAGAACTACGTACAAATTTATTAAACATCAAATAAATCCACGTCTCTATTTTTACATTGAAAAGTTTTAACTAAACGGGCTTGGTAATGCGTTTAACATAAGTTCTCCTTCAGTATTTACACCATCCAGAAGAACGTTTAATACACAAGGAAGCCACTTATCTAACACTACTGCCACCAAACCCGGTCGTCTCTCTGTCATTTGAATATATTGTAGAGTTTAATGGTATTCTGCTGGATATCTTGCTATATTTCAAGCGAGCAGCGAAACATTTCCCTTAACGGGAAGCAATTATTTTAATTACTCGTGTAGGACACAGAAAAGTCGTCAGAATTGTTATAAGCTGTATGTAATACAGTTAAATAAGGCTTATAAACACATAGGATCTATATACCTGACACTATGTATGTATTTTATTTGTTTACCAAATAAACTGTACCCTTACCGGTATTGTTTTATCTCTGTCCTTTCTGGGAGATAAATATAAAACATGCAGTATCCAGTTATTATTCTCTTTATTATTATTCTCTTTATTGCCTCCAGAGATGAAGATTACAGAAGAATGTTGAACATATATACAAAGCGTACGATACATATATAAATGATTACAGAATATGAATAACATAGATACACACTTTATGCTTTAGGAGTAGGCATATCAAGTGCAAATTAAGCGAAAGGGGGTATTTTAAGGTATACCCAAAGAGTTTCAAAATACAATTTTCTGACACAAATCAGGTAAATTATAATGAATTGTTAAGTCACATGACTCCTACAAAATGTACATGGACTATTTGTTATCCTTATCATTATATATATTAATTATAATATAGTTTACACATCTTGAACACACAAATACAGGATTTTATCCTGAATTCAATCAGCTCTTCTGCACTAATTTGATAGTTTACATTTCCTCCAATCAATATATGTAATAACTGAAGGTCTGGGAGAGAGTGTAAATAAACACTAAACAGTATATCTGTGGTATTAATTATACAGCACCACAGTTGGTCCCTCAACTCGGAAGTATAAATACACTGTAGCACTAGATGTGTCATAGGGTCTTGATATAGAAACCCACATTTGTGACATAATTCCATGGTAGTCAAGCTACGAATGGTTACCACTATTTTCATTATGTGATGTATATATTTTCTGTATTGAGGAAATCGAAGTGCTAACTTCCATAAAATACTAGGTTTGGTTTGGTTATGTATTTCTCTAAACCTTGTAAAATCATCATCAAACTTCATACGTTCCTTTAGATTGTACTCTTCATATTTCATTACAGCATTATATACTGTTGTTTTCCAATGGCTTTTCTTTCGAAAAATTCCAGTTTCTACAAAAGTATCTAGATTTTGAAGCAGTGAATACTTTTTTAATATTTTGACTATGTCTGGGATGAAACCGATCTGGTATGGTCTACCTAGTCGAAACAAAAATTGTCTGGTAATGAAAACTTTATAAACAAAAGACATTGTTTTCAATCTACACAATCTTTCAAAAAATAACAACTTTCTAATGTCTATATATGCTTCGATAGAGGTCCAACCAAGTAAAGATGTACACATATCTGTTCTGGTTCTCTTTTCAAACCCTTGAATAGATTTAACAATAAAATGTTGCGCCCTTTCTAGCATTATTATTTCGGTTTTTGTCAATTGCCAAAGCTCACATCCGTATACGGCTGATGGATAAACTTTAATTTTGATAAGCTTCGCCACTGTTAAAGGGTTTAGAGCACAAGGATGTGCACCAGAACGAACAAGGGACATCGTACCCGATCTTAACTTATTACATGCACGTGCTGTTCTCTCGAATGAGTTCTGTTTACAGTTTAATAAGATACCAACATGTGTAATGCCATCAGTCTGTGGTATAATACAATTGTACAGATAAAGCTCATTATACACAGTGCAAGTTCTACTATTTGGGTTTGTGAAGGTAACAATTTTGCTTTTTACAGCAGAGAATGAAAAACGCCATCTTTTACTATAATTTTCACTTATTGATATCATTTTCTGAAGACTTCTAAGACTCGTACTGACCAAACAGATGTCGTCTGTTTGAGTAGGAACATTAACATTTAAATCTCTGTCCTTTCTGGGAGATAAATATAAAACATGCAGTATCCAGTTATATCATATCACAATTCGACTAATACCCGTATACCTAAAATTACAATCTAGTACTTTTATTTGCTAAACATTATTGACGTGTTACTATAAGCCCAACATTAATGTATTCTATCTACAGTTTTTTCATCAATGTCATCATATCAAGACACCTGTTATAATTAAACCAAACTCCGTATATCTGTGTTTTAATTGGTAGCTATACTATAAATTATTCATACGTTCCCTGTTCTGTCAATTATATATCGATGTAAAGTGAATCTTATCTATCTAATATCAGAACGATCAATACCTGATATAGGTAATAATAGTCACAAGTACTATCATACAGAGATAGGTACCTTGTATAGTAAATATTTCTACACCAGTAACATTAACAAAGGACACATAGGATAATAACACCTTTCAATACAAATGTCAGATTAAATACAGTAGAGTGAAATAATGAATTAAATTGCATTATAATCTGATTCGACGTTCTAGAACTCTTCAGTGATGATAAGGCCCACAAGATTGAAATCT